ACCGAACTGAACTAAGAGCGCTTCCGTACAAGCGTACAAGTCATTTCTGATTCGCTGATGGACATGCACATCTGTACGATTGAGAAACCGGCTGGCCCAATGCGCCCTTCAGTAGTGCCCCGGAACAGAGTTCAACTATTAACATAGTTCAACTGGGGCCGAAGGGCCGGTTAACCATAGATCGGCTAAGATCGGGAATGTTCTGTCATTTGGCGAAATCCGGCCTATGAAGAGATTTGTTTTTCTAAATAAGATATAAATAAGATTTGCTAATCTATACTAATCTATATAATCTATAAGAGTAGCCGTTGCTTGTTGAATATAGCTTTTCTTCTTTTCGGAGAATGCGACGTTGCAAATGGGAGACAACATTGACCGACTCTGGAGGAACAAAGACGTTGCCGGGATTGGACAAATAGGGAAAATGAGCCAGCCCCAGCAAGCTACGGCAGGCGAGCCGCCCGGTGATGGCGACTGAAAGGTAAAGGGTGGACGAAGGACTATGGACTGGTCGTTGAACATAGTTCAACGTTTGAAACGAAATGAGTTGAACTATGTTCAACGAACATAGTGAAACGAATCTCTGTTCTCTGTTCTCTAGGTACGACCTATGGGAGAGGTACGAAGTCACTCGAAGATTCCTCTTCGAGGTACGAATTCTCTAGCGACTTCGTACCTCTGAGAGCTACGTAGGCAGCCCATTTGGGTCCGGTCTAATAATTGTATATGAAGGATTCCATCAAAGAAGGAAAGTCGAATCGCAAGGGCTTTAGCGACATAGCTATTCAAAGCAATCCACCCAGCTGGAAAACTACCTGCTTCTTCAACGCCAAGGCACCGAGCTAAGACCCCATCGGACATCTTGTAGTCAAAATTGCCACATAATTTAGTGAAGCACTTCAAGTCTTTCTTGGCCATGTGCACTGACGACACTGATTGCTTGAGTTCTTGAATCATTCTTGAAGGAAGCTTATCGTTCAAGTTCCATGAGCTGGAGTTCGTCGCTTGCTGATCTTATTCATCATTTGGTCAAAGAATCAGCATGTCGATTGGTAAACCTGTTGAAATTCCACATCAATTTCATCATGCTAGGGAAATATCCTTCAGTGCGAATGTCCCATCTGTCTGTCGAACCATTTCTTTAGCGCTATCGTATTCGGGAATTATGCTTTCTCTTCTTAGAAGGAAGTTCCACTCCCAGCGTACCATCACCATCCATCGATCGGATTCGAACACGGCCCCTTCCCCCTAGCTGCATGTCTTCGGGCGTTCTTGCTGAATGAGTTTCACATAGTGTTGAACTATGTTCAACGAACATAGTGAAACGAATCTCTGTTCTCTGTTCTCTAGGTACGACCTATGGGAGAGGTACGAAGTCACTCGAAGATTCCGCTTCGAGGTACGAATTCTCTAGCGACTTCG